TCTGTGCACATCGGTACTGGTTCTCTTTCAAGCTGGGCCTCCTGCCCTTCGGAGATTCCACTCCCGAAAACCTCCCGCAGATCTGAGTCGCATTCGGGCCCAGTTCTCAGGCAGTGAGCGCAGAACAGGGGTGTGTGTCATTTTTTAGCACGAGGTGTTTGTCGCGAGGTCACGGCCGACCCATCGCGACCCCATGGACAACACTCCTTCAGGCCCCCCTGTCCTCCGCCATCTCCGGAGTCCACCTAAGCTCACGCCAACTGCTTCAGTGACCCCATCCAGCCACCTCATCCTCTGCCGTCCCCTCCTTCTTTTGCCGTCAATTGTTCCCAGCATCAGGCTCTTCTCCAGGGAGTCCTTCCTTCTCATTAGGTGGCCAAAGCATTTGAGCTTCACCTTCAGTATCTGGCCTTCTAAAGAGCAGTCGGGGTTGATCTCCTCTAGGACTGACTGGTTTGATCGCCTTGCGGTCCAAGGGACTCGCAGAGGCTCCTCCAGCACCACAATTCAGAGGCCTCAATCCTTCGGCGCTCAACCTTCCTTATGGTCCACCTTCCACAGCCAAGCATTGCAACTGGGAAAACCATCGCCTTGACTATATGCACTTTTGTCGGCAGGGTGATGTCTCTGCTTTTTAGTATGCTGTCTAGATTTGCCATAGCTTTCCTCCCCAGAAGCAAGCGTCTTTTAATTTCTTGGCTGCAGTGCCCATCTGCAGTGATCTTGGAGCCCAAGAAAATAGAATCGAGAGCCAGATGCAATTTCGTGAGGTGTTCTGGTGGTGCATTAAGTTGAAGGCAAGGAGGGAGCGTACCAAATACTGAGAATTCCAGCCTATTTTAGCTTCAAGCTCTCCGTGTTGGGAATCAAGCCATGGGAGAAGGTGAGGGTTAGGGAATGGGGAAACCACGCAGAAGCTGCTAAACTCCCATGTGACTGACAACTGGGAAGGGGAAAAATGGAAGGGGATGTATTTCTACTACCACAACTATTATTCTTCATAGCAGTGCTATTTCTTGGCTGCCTTTCCGGACAGAAGCCCTTCCAAGGTGGAAGACAACAATAAGAGACACAAAATCGATGCAAGATTCAAAGCAGTAAAACAGAATAAAAGACAAAACAGCAATCACAGGAATCACGTCAGGAGGGGCCAGAGTAAAAGAATATGCTCCAAGGCCTTCTGGAAAGCCTACAGTGATGAAACATGGCCATGCCCCCACTGGCAACGTAATTGAGAGGAGTGGGGCCACTGCGGAGCCCTCCCGCCCCACATACGGCGGTGGTCATCTAGGGAGCCAGAGCCCTGTGTGACCCGTGGGCCTGCGGTCCTGCGCTACTGGTGGCGTGGGAAATGGGTTGCTCTTCCGTCCTCCACAGGCCTCCAAAGGGCGTTTCAGCCGTTTCGGGGGATTCTCTCCCTCCGGGCCCATGGGAGTAGAGCAGGGAGAAGAGAGACCAGAAGAAGCTGTCCGCCCCGCCACGCCTGGCCATAGTGGTCCAGCAGGCCCCGGTAGGTCCACCGTGGGTCTCCCCTCTGCCATAGGGCCCATGGGGCTTCCTTGCCCGTGTCTCTCCAATGCGTATGTTAAGCAACATGCCATGTAAACATGTTCATGTTAGGACAGCCGTTCTCCAATGTGCTGCCCTCCAGA